ATTATTGTTTAGCAAGTATCATGGTTATAAAATGTTCAAATTTAGCTAGTTTAATTAGGCCTGTTAGTACACTTATATTATGGTTTCTTCATTTTATATTAGTTCATGTAATTTTTTCAAAATCGAATATGCGGAAAGGAGCTGTTTGGAATGAAGATTTACAAGAAGAAGTAATTTCATCTGATTGGATTAGTGATAAAACTGTTTGTCGGCTTCCAGGTACCAAAGCATTGACTGCACTAACATGCAGAGAAGAATTGGCTTAAGTTTATACAAATAAAAACTAAATTCTCTTCAGGTATTACATCTATATATTACAATTATTATTTTTTAAATAACGTGGTAAGAAAAGTTATTTTGTTGATACAAAATATATAACTATTTGTATAACTATTTCAATTCTAAAAGAAAGCAAACAGTATTGTGAAAATTTTAAATTCACAACTACAAAAGAAAAATGTGATAATGAGAATGTTGACAAGTGGATGCAAGATTTGCACACAAGTGGAAACTTGGATACAAATTTTCCACTTGTGTGGTTTGGATGGTTCTCCACAATATAATATATCTCCACAAGCATAATATTAGATTTACTTCATGTTTTTTTACAGATAAATCAATTACAGTTAATTGGTGGAGTTACCTCATTTATAATCAGGGTGTCTGCAGCTCCTCTAAAATCCTCTAAAGTCCCCTTTTTTTAAAACCACTTCTAAAATCCTCTATTATCTTCTAAAGAGGTAAATATTTGATCAAAGCTCCTCATTAATTCTTCCTTTTTTAATTTTTGATGCATGTATAATGTTCAAAATACCCATTCTCGGTCTGCAAAACTGGTTAACGCCTTGTGCATGGAATTGTAAAAGATTGCTTTAGAAAATGCATGCTATTTAACATAACAAATGACATTATTTGATCCCTGTCCATGCCCCATAAGTGTATAAACATGGACGTTAAACCATTAATAAATGGCCACATAAAATTTCTTATAAAAATTTTATGTGGCCACCCCGAAAATTATTTTTCAATGCTAGAAATGTTTCATATTTTGATTATTAATTTATTTTTAATATATTAAAAAGGTTGTTTTATTCAAATTAAATATTTGAAAAAGTTATTAATAACCAACTAACTGTTATTATTTTTTAAAAATTCAGAGTATTTTTGAAAAGTTATATGGCCTCCATGGATATGAAGGGCAAAGGTGGAAAAATATGTTTTAAGAACACTAATTTATATGGCGTTGAAAAAGATATACCTTCATAAGTTGTAACACTTTTCCATTCATTATTTATTTTTTAAATCTTCCCTTTTTGTTTTTTTTTAATATATTTTTTTATTTACAGCTTCTTATATTGTACTCAATGGACCAAAAGAACCCTCAGTTAATGGAGCATTGTTTGACTTTCTAAATTACGCTTTATTTCAAAAAGGTGGTGGAAAAGAGAAGAAATTTGTGTAGATTTTATTCAATTACATGTAAATATATGTAATATTTGAATATGTATTTTTGAATAAAGCAAGTTTTATCTCTTTCTTTAATCATACCTAGCTATTTTAACTAAACTAAACTGAAAAAGTTCTAAATAGTCTAAGTATAGACTATGAATAGATTTATCCATAATATACCTTGATAATGTACAGCAACACTAATGTACATGCATAGTACGTTTTGATGGTGATCATATTTTGACGCACATAGCACGTTTACATACATATATACATTTTGACATACATAGCACGTTTTGATGGTGAAAAAGTGTTTTACAGTCGTTTAACGTTGTTAAATCAACGTTAAAAAAACTATCATTTTAAACAACGTTTAAAATGATAGTTTTTTTAACGTCGATCAACGTAAATTCAACGTTGTTGTAACGTTTTTTCGCGTCGAATTAACGTTGATATAACGTTTGAATCTAACGTTGATTTAACGTTGATAAGTCAACGTTGAGAAAAACTTTCATTCTAAACGTTAAATCAACGTAAATTCAACGTTATTGTAACGTTTTTTCGCGTCTAATCAACGTTGATATAACGTTTGAACCTAACGTTGATTTAACGTTGATAAATCAACGTTGAAAAAAACTTTCATTCTAAACGTTAAACCAACGTTAATTCAACGTTAGGTTTCAACGTTATTTCAACGTTATTTGCCGGCTGGGATTGTTCTAAGCTCTTTACTGCAACTTTATACCAACTTGTTAATTATAAAGAGTAAAACATTTAAGTTTTCATCTTTTTACAGCTGTTTTACAGAATTGGCTTACACTTTCCATGTAATTCTACAAACTCTGAAGAAGTTGTTTTTTATTTAAATTTTGAGAAGGCTGATTAAGAGTACATCAAAGTTTCTCATTACTTAACTTTGATGAACATCATCCTTAAACCTTTAAACTCTTTGTGAAAATTAAAAAAAAAAATTGGCAGGATATTTTAACTTATATTTAAATAGGACATCAATTGGATATTAATAATCTATTTGAAAACTTAATCTATTTGAAAACTTAACAAAAAGAAGCAATATTTCTTTTTCTACTGAACAGTTTTTTAGTGCAGTTAAGTATAAGCTTTGAAATTGAATGCTAGCAAAGAGTATTAAATATTTTTATATCATTATACAAGAGGTATTCACAAAAGTTTATAAAAAGCACACTTGATTTTATTGGTTATACCAAAAAAGAAATTATTCATATAATTTAGAAATACAGAATACATTTTATTTAATTTTTTTTTCATTGTTATAGATTTTTTTCCCTTCAGAAGCATTTAATGTAAAGTAAACTGATAGCATAATAAACATAAAAATTATAGAATTTGTTGAGTTATTTAATACTATTTACCATAAGTTGGGTAAACATTTTTTATATTATTACACTATTTGCAGTTATTCAAATTCACTTTATTTAATAAGCTTTTTAATGTTTTTTTTTGGTTTTAACATATGCACTAAACCTGTCTTTAAAAATTAGCCAATCAAATTGCAAATATCTCAGCCTATTCTGAGCCTGTATAGGGTTTTAAAATATGCCGCCGGGCGTATCCAAGGGATTAGAGGGGTATCAAACTACCATTTTTACTACCTCAAAAAAGCATAATTCTTTAACAAAATTATTTTTTAAATTAAATTTTTAGATACAAATTTATATTTATCTTTTAATCCAGACCAAAAGCAAGTACAAGCGGTCTCTCTTACAGTTGAGGGTGGATGTATGGCGAGGATTTAACACAGCCGCAGTATAAAAAATCTTTAATTCTTATAGTTTTAGTTTATTAAAAAGAGTGAAACTCAAATGAAATAATTGAGTTTTACTACATTACAACATATATAAGAGAGTGCCAAGCAAACTCTCCATGCTTGACCCACGCATGACCCATCATCGGTGCTATGAACAGCCCACCATCGGCAAACAAGCACGGGCCATGCTAAGTATTGCTCACCGTTTAATGTTTGTCCATGCACAACAACTATTTTTGGCCGGCGTTTAACAGTTGCTTCGCCATTAATCATTGCTTATATTACTTTCCTTCCATTTTGTTTGTTTTTCACATGTTTTTATTAATAACCAATACTTAAAAAAATCCTAGAATTTATCTTAAAAAGAAGACTTAATAAAAAGCCGGAGGAAATAGTTGAAATAAGTCGACGATTACGTACCTAAAAAGGGGATACAGAAAATGAAAAATAGAATGTAGACTATTTTAATACAATTTAAATTAATAAGTAGTTTGTATTTCAATAAAAGTTCATTATACATATTATATTAAAATTCATTATACACATATCACACGTAACACACATCACATATAACACACATATCACATATAACACATATATCACATATAACACACATATCACATATAACACAAATGTTTCTATGCAACAAAATAAATTTTAATTTGACCATCATTTTTATTCGATGCTGCAAACCTTTGATATTTCTTGATTTCTAAATCTATTTCGTCTGTCAAAATGCATTTGCTATATTTGAAATAATTCATTTGAATAGTTCATCACTTCATTTTTAATTTTGAAAGCTTTTCGAAGTGCTTACACTTTAACATTTAAAAAATTAACTTCATGAACCATAGTATACGAATAAATTTGCATTGTTGCCACAAGTTAACACAAGCATGTTACTTTTTATGCCAATAAAAATAAATCATTAAACTACTATTAATGGTTGGAACACCTTGAGCCGTATTAGCCTGAGAAAAATAATGAAAAATAAACTAGTTAGGTTAAGATTTTTTAACTCAAAATCATGATGCCAAAAGCAAAATTTCCTATGCGAGATTACTGTAGAGGAGTCATAAATAAAACGACTAATTCCAATTAGCTAGATAATTAAACTCAAAACCATGATTTTATAAATAAAACCTCGCAGGCAAGACTACTATAAGGACTATAAAGACTATAAGTCTATAAAGACTATAAAGTCTATAAGTCTATAAAGACTACTATAAGACTACTATAAGGAATCCCATAATGAGGACGCCTTTTTTCTACGTTCTTTTTCCTATAATACGGTACCTACTTATTCAAGCGTCTACGCCATATTGATACCATATAAACGTAAAACTCTCTAATACTTATACCCGGGATGTCCAACCTCTAAGCTCTAGACTTTTACATTACCACTTGGTAACTCATCACACAATACTTAACAGACCAACTTGATGTATGTGGATGTTGATTTTTTTGCTTGAAGTTCTCGAGGACTAATACTTGAGAAAGAATAGACAGTTATAATAGGCAGAAAGTCATTAGAAAAGATTATGTGTGCCCTTATCTTCTTCTTCTTCTTCTTTTTCTTCTTCTTCTTCTTCTTCTTCTTCTTATGTATATGTTTCACATTTCTTATTAATATGTTTCACATTTTGTTATGAAATTTATAGCGAAAAAAAAATATATATATATCGATGAAGTTTTGAAAAATATTTAAAAAGCTAATTAGAATTAATATTACGAATAGTAATAATACTTATTAACAATTAACTAATTAACAAGATTAGATAAAAATATTTTCTTTATAGTAATTTAATACATTGAGTCTAGTCTGATTTAATCTATTTCAGAGCTTTTATTTACTATTAACTTATAGGTCTTTGTTTAAAATAGTAAAACAAAACGCAATCCATTTTATGTTTGAATTGATTGTTGTAAAAGAGGCCATTTTACTGTTTGGATCCATAACTCATTGCTTGATTTTCGAAAAAATAACCCGTCCGCGTTCCCTAAAAAGCAAAACAAAATTTAATTTATATTTCAACGTTTTTTGTTTTAAAAAAAGCGCAAAAACATTTTAAGAACTTACCCATCCATTGGTTCGGTCCTAAACTAAATATTTTTTTATCATCTTCTTCGAGATTAACTCTGTTTTTTAGATCAATATTCATTAAAACTTCCTTGGTAAACTGATTGTTTGACAAAGCTACCCATTTCTTTAGCACACTGGAAAACATCAAATACAATTTATGATTTCGGTGAATAGCATATAGATCTCGTGTTAATGCATGGTGCCCAATTATTGTACCAATTCGAACATCTAAAGCTATCATTTAAAAATAAGAAAAAATTTTCTCAAATAAATTTTTAAAATAAATGCTCTATTTTTTAATTACATTGAAAAGTATTTTTTTAAAACAGTTACATTAAAACAAACACTTTTATTTGTTTAAAACAACACAGCTTACATCGAAACAAACACGGTTATTTAGTGGCTAATAAAACTAACTTTGTTTGAACGATTAAAAAAATCAAAAATTAAAAAAGTTCTAGTAAATTTTTTCTTTTATAAATTATTTAAAAAGTAGTTCCCATTTTCTATCAAAATGTTACGTGCTCAGTTTTACAACAAGTTATTTGATTCTTTGATTAAATCCATTAAAAGTTGTTTTGTTTTTAATATTCTTTTTCTTTTACTTAAGCAATAAACACCAAACATTCATTTTAAGCAAGTTTAAGAAAACGTAGGCTTAAAACCATTTTTTCATATTACAGATAAAAGTCATAAAATATTTTGCTGCAAATACACCTAGATCATTGAATACGCTATTTTGCATATTAAATGCTGTGTTTTTATTTTATTCGGTATTATCTAGTAACCTACAGATTTCAAAACGTTGTATATTCTATTAAAAAAAGATGTCGCTCTGATAGCCAGAGATTTGTTTTAATAAATTAAATTATTCACCTAAAGAAGTAACTCTAAATATTATAAACCTAAATGTAAAGAGTCAAAAACAACTAGAACACCTAAAAATTTATAATGAATGAACTATTACTATATAAAACACGTATTTTTGTTGAATATAGCTGTCAAATTAAACAAAATATTGGTTTTTGTATTTTATAATAGTATAAAACTTTCCTCTAATAGCAACTGATTGTTTTAAAATTGTTTAAAGAAACAAACTTTGATAAACATTATTTATTATGTTTTCATATCTCATTAAATACCTCTGATTTTACATTAAATACTTCTGAAGAAAAAATATAAAAATGTCAAAGTTCTGATAAAAAAATAAAAATAAATCAATAATACTTTAGAATTCCAAATAAATTGTTTTAATTAGTAAAATCAAGTTTACGTATCTTTTGGACACAAATTTTTACATATTTTGTAATTCTATTAAATAGCATACTTTTGTTATGTAAAAGTACATTCATAGTTATAGGCTTGTATCATTTTATAGTATTCATAATTTATTTTTACTATAGTTTTAAATTTTCTCAGAAAGCAAGTTTGTTAGTATAATTTTTTGAAACACATCTTTGAAAACTGCAATAAAAACTACATATAGGTTGTTGAAATTATCTCAAAAATTATTTACATTTTCGTCACAACTTCGCAAATAAAAAAATGTTTTAACTAAAGCTTTTTACCATAAAAAACAACAACATATCATTAAAACAGAACAAACTTGCTCAACTGCTTTGTTGAGACTTTAAATTCATCATCATACATTTTAATCTTGATTGAGCTTTTTTTAAAGATATATTTATACAATTTGCACTTAGTTTCTCAACGTTGGCTACTATTTGTGTTTCCATTTAGGATACAAACTTAAAATCAGCCAAAAGCATTGGTATTTGCTGTACCCATCAACATTAGCATCGATTGAAAATAGTCTCCAGCGTAACTCTAAAATAGTTTATGAATTGTTTATCATTTTTGGATACTCGAACTAATTGTAATGTTGGGACTTTTTTTAAAATTATCATAACATATTTGCTTGTTATCAACTGTAATCTGTACATTCTTAAAAAATTACATTAAAAGCATTTTTTTGTTGGTAATAAGCAAGTATTTATACAGCCAATAAAACATTAAAGCCTGTATAACCCAAACACAGTTTGTTTTTAAACACAGTGAAAAATCTTTTTAAGCAACAAACTCAAGTTTGAATTAATGTTACAAAAACAGATGGAAAAAAAAAGTATAACCTAAAAAAAAAAGGAATACTTACGACAACCAATTAAATTGTTGAACTGGAATCTGTGTGTTAAAGAAAAAGTACTTCCAAGTCAAAAATATAGAACAAAATATTTTAAAGGAATTTTTACGAATTGAGAAGAACTATTATCTGTTTGCACAACAAGTGACAAGATTCAGAAAGTTAAACTAAAAAATTATGGCATTGTAAACTCTAACTTAGTTTGGTTTAAGAGTTATTGAACAAACAGAAAGAAATGCATTTCCTATCATGGTGAAAAAACGGATTTAATGAGAATTACCTGTGGCGTATCCCAAGGATCAGTTCTGGGAACACTTTTATTTTTTGTTTATATAATTGAGTTTAGCAAACTCTCAAATATCAACTATACTAACGTATTTTATTCTAAAAAAAATATTATTGTCTTGTTTGCAACAATAAACAATGAGCTAGCAAAACTAAGCAAATGGTTTATGTCGAATAAATATGTCATAAATATAAAAAAATAACAAAATATAATGTCCTCATGAAAAAAATGCTATTTCTTAAAAATATCGTAATCATTTTTTAAATAACATATATATCAAGAGAGAGCATTCCTTATCGTTTCTAGGTGTAGTTTTAGATGAAAATGAAACGTGGAAGGAGCACATATGTATAATCCAAAATAAAATATTAAAAAATATAGGCCTCCTATACAAAACCAAACAATTTTTGAAACTTTATTGCCTTTTTTTACTTTACTGTTTACTTTTCTTTTGTTCTTTGCTTTTTACATTACGCTAACATTGCTTGGTGCAGCACTAATGTATCTAAAATTAATAAGCTGCTAATTGAACAAAAATACACAGCAAGAATAATTGGAAATCGTCTCTCTCACACACAAAATGTCATTTTAATAAACTTAAAATACTCAACGTATATCAACTTCTATCAAATTCTTATATTCTCATATTCTTAAACAAAAGGCCAAAATTAAGAGTTAAAGTTTCCATGATACTTGTGAATGAATGGAAGAAGTCGCTTAATTCAAACTCTAATCTAAATCTAAATTTAAAAATTCATCAATATTGATTCATTGACTAATTACTACAAACTTGGAAGTGCGAAACAATGGCTCGGACATACAGTGGTCAGATATGGTTATCTCTATTAATAATTTGCTTGAAAATTTATCTTTTCCTATAAAACAAACACTTTCTGGGTATATTTTGTTGTTGTTTGTGTAGTATTCAGAATTTCCAGGCATGTTATTCATTGAAAAACATAAGTATTTTTTCTCATCGATGACCAAAAGCGATTTTGTATTATAAATATGGTTAACTAGTTTCCTGCCACTTTTCTTTGCCTTTAATTGTTGTTCTATATTGTATTTTGGAATCTTTTCATGTTTTCTATATTTAATATCTATTTTTATTAACTGATGATTAATTGTTAATTGATTTACACCGAATAAACAACCTCTTTTTTTCTGACTGACCCCTTCAGTCAGAAAAAAACTCCTTCAATTGTTGACATGTCTCGTTAATTTGGCTTTTTTTATTTAGTCCAGGATGTTGGACAACCAGGGTATTTTTAATCAGAAAATGATTGAAAAGTTTCAAGTCTTTCTAGCTTATCATATATTGCTCTTGAAGCAAATCATTCCTTTTCAAAATGATTTACGATTTTTTTTTTATGTATTAAGTTTATTTACAAAAAATATTTTGAGTCGCTTTCAAAAGTATTCTCGTACAGCTGCATTTAACTTCATTTTAAATAGCTTTGTTTCAAATAATAAAGTTTTTACTTTATAAAACGATTATGCCTACACATAAAACCACAAAAACAAATTGTTATGCTCAAATAATTAGATTTAGATTTGTCCGATAACTTTCGCATCACCCGTTAAGCGACAAAAGTTTAAAAGTTCTTATAAATGATCTTATATAAATTTTTTCCCCGGATTTTTTCTCCGGGGATTATTTCAAGGGTATTTATACCCGGATTTTTTCTCCGGGAATTATTTCAAGGGTATTTATACCCTCGGGGAAAAAATTTATATAGGATCATTTACAAGAACTTTTAAACTTTTGTCGCTTAACGGGTAATGCGAAAGTTATCGACCAATCTGAATCTAATTATTTGAGCATAGTAATTTGTTTTTGTGCTTTTATGCGTAGGCATAATCGTTTTATAAAGTATTCTCCGGGAATTATTTCAAGGGTATAAATACCCTTTAAATAATCCCCGAAGAAAAAATCCCCCCCCCCCCCGAGAAATAATCTCCCTGGATAAAATCCCCCCGAGAAAAAATCCTCCCGGAAAATATCCCCATAAAACTAAAAAAAAAAATTTAAATTAAAATCATCAATTAAATAGTTATATTTATTTATTTTAAATAGCTTTTTAAAATAATTTATTTTTTATCAATATGTCAAGTTTTGCGCTATTCCTCGGTTGTTGGTAAAATGCAAACTGCGAACCCCGAACTGCGAACCGGTAAAATGAGAACTTTTTTGCGAAACAAAACATTATATTTTAAAGACCATTATTGTTATGATAAAAATAATAATAAAAAAACTCTCCAATTCTTAATTATTTATTTTAAAGCTTTATTTAAAATAAAAATTTTATTTTTTAACTGTAAAACATGCACGGAGTGTTGCTACATTGACTATCTTATAGCCTGACTCGCAACGAAGTGCTCCTACAATGACTTAGGGTTTGGTTTGGGCAGGCAGTCTATCAAATAACTAAAAATTATATACATATATTTTCATATTGCATTCGTCTAGTTTAACTTTAATTTCCTATTTTTTTTTAAATAATTTTTTCGCTTAAAAGTCCTTTAAATATCTACAGCATGTATGTATGTATGTATATATCGGTTAGTTTGTCACAAAACCCCAAAAAATAAGTCGCCTAAAAAATAATTATAATTAGTATGTTGAGGGTAGAATTTTGTCTGATTACAAAAGTTTTTTTAAAAAAGATTACATTGTTCTGGTTTTGTCTGATTACAAAAGTTTGTCTCCTGGTTACAAGAAGTAAATTACTTTTTTAAAGCTCGACAATTTTTTTTTTTTTACATTAAAGTTTTTGGTGAGTTATATATTTTTACTTTGATTGAATCAATTAAATAAAGTTTAATTTATGAAAAATTTCCTTTTCAAGTTGATCATGTAACGCACTATTTATTATTTTTTGATCCTCACAAGTTGTTTTTAGTATCATGCTAAACTAGTTACTTGGCACAACTGCTCTCTTCGTAAATGTTTATGTTTTGGAGTAATAATCAAAAAGAAACAAGAAGTAGTTAAAAAAAAAAAAAAGTAGCTACATAATCAATAGTACCACCATGTGATATATGTACTCTAATAAACTTTTTTTAATAAACGTTGAAATATAAATTAGTTATTAATTTATATCGTATTGCTAAACAATCAGAGTTATTATAGTATAAAACAGTCTACATTCAGTCTACATGCCAAGTTGAGTTTAAAAAAGACCAAAATTATATAAAACACCGAAAAAAGAACCCTATTTTATAAAAACACCACTGAAAACATAATATAATAAACGTTAAAAAAAGTTTATTTTTGTGATATTAAATATCATATTATGATTGCATTATGACTTTTTGACGAAAACATATTGGATCACGAGAAGAAAAGGGAAAATATTGCTATAAGTATCAAGATTGAAATAGTAAGTTTTTTCTCAAATGAAAACACTTTGAGAAAATTTCATCTGTAAAATATAATTTATATATATATATATATATATATATATATATATATATATATATATATATATATATATATATATATATATATATATATATATATATATATATATATATATATATATATATATATATATATATATATATATATATAAATATATATATATATATATATTTATTTATTTATTTATTTTATATTATATTTTATTTTTAATTTCATCTATTTGCAAAACCAATTAATTACAATAATATAACCAAATTTAAACCTTGCCGTAACCCTAACCCTAAGCCTGACCTTAATGCCTGGCCAAACCGAACCCTCATTCGATGTAGCAGCACTCCATTGCGAGTCAGGCTATTTGTCAGTCGATGTGTGTACTTTTTGTTCTCTATAAAAATTGCTTACGAGTACATTTTTTAATAAAAAAAATTATGCTTACGGGACAAAAAATTAACGGATACACTAGGGGTGTTCAAATTTTTTTTGGAACATGTATGCAAGCCAAAAAGATGTGTAATCGTGAGTAATTTTAAGATAATATTTTGATTTTTCAAAAAAAAGAAAAATTTAACTTTGCTTTATCAGGTTCAAGTAGCTACAAATAAAGCACAAAGAATCTTATGTTTAATAAGAAAAAGCTTTACTTATCTTAACACTGAAATGGTAAGGCAACTATACACATCGCTGGTTAGACCACACTTGGAATTCACAGCACCATTGTGGAGTCTAAGTAATGAAAACAATATCAACGACCTAGAAAAAATTCAAAGACGAGGAAAAAAGCTAGCCCCTGAACTAAAATATCTAAGTTATACCGAAAGATTGACTAAGTTGGGCCTCACAACTCTGGAAACAAGACGTATAAGAGGAGATTTTATTGCTTTCTTCAAATTAACAACTGGGATTGATAAGATATTGTAGTATAAAGAGCCTAATAAAGCTTCTTCCCAGAGACTTCGAAGTCATCCAATGAAATTTGAAAGAGAATTTGCAAAAACAACACCGAGACATTTTTTTACGGACAGAGTGATACCTCATTGGAATGCTTTACCTGAAAAAGTGGTTTCTGCAATGACAGCAAATTCTTTTAAAGCTAGACTAGATAAACATTTGTTAACGGCTGTTAAAGTAGAAATTTTAAACTTAATGCTACGCGACAATCGTCATTAAAGCAGTTTGTATTACTATTACTATTACTACACCCAATCAAAGTTTTTCAAAATTTGTAACTTTTTACAAGATTTAAATTTTCTCGAGATCTAAGATACATACAAACATGTATACAACTTATTTGTTAGCTTACTATGTCTAGAGCATGCTTAAAAAAATTGGCACTCTAGCTTTATGGGATCACTTTGCTACAACTTGATTTCGGAAACCGTGAGAGTACGGACGGGGCGCGCTGGAGGGGGGCAATTTTTTTTGTTTTGCAAATTTAAGTTGAAACTGTATAAATATAAAAACGTCTGAAATTTTTTCTGAATTTTGTACAACCACTTTATGACTAGCAAAATAAAACGTATTATAAAAGACATACTGATGTCTCTTTACCCAAACAAGGAGGGGCATGAATGGATAATTTTTTTCTGTACCTTTTCCTCCTCCCCCCTCCGTCTTTTGTGTTTCAGAAAAATAAATGATATTAAAAAAAGTTAACTTAAAATATAGACTTAGGTTTCTGCATTATTGAAGACCTTGTTTTCAGCCTCTACAGTCTCAACCACATCATCTTCATCAACAATATCCGAGCTACTGTTAAAATTACTAGTACTAGATAGTGATAACTTGTCCTCCGTCTCCTCAAAACATTCATATTCGTACGCAAAGTTTAGATTTTTAGCAGGTGTTAGCTGTTCATTGGCCTTGTTATATGCTGCTTTAGTGCTTGAAATTGTTTTTTTTATTTGATTATTAACATTTTCTGCAGTGTCTTCTCGTCATATGTTTGTGAAACAACCTCCTGAATTGCTTTTACGGCTCTCTCTGCTGCATCATTAAAAACTACTAAGCTTTTAATAAATAGTTGATAAGCGATGAAATCTGGATCTATATTTCATGTAGACGAAGGATAAAAAAGCCACTTAACATGTCTTTCAAAGTGTTCAAATATATCAAACACTAACCATTACTCAGTTCTTACATAATTAACGAGTAAAGGTGGCTTGGTGAGTTTGAGAAACTCGGTCTTTTGTGGAGTAAAACCGGGCTCTTTCTTTCAAAATCATACTTGTTTGTTCGAGGATATTGTACTAGCTTTCTAGCCATATTTTCCTTTTAAATGTCAGACACAGACTGATCTGAATTGGCTACTGGAAAAAGAATAGTAATGAGATCTAAGTATGTGTTTTCCCCACCTTTTAAAGACTGAAGCTTCTGCTACATCAAACTTCTCCAAGTGGGCCATGTGCCAGATAAAGTGCTACTCCTGCAATGTTAAAATTTCAATTCAATTTGGGAACACTATTTTATCAAATAATAATGCTAAAATTTAACTACGATTATTTGTATCAAAGGCTAAAAAACTAACTTGGATTGCAGCTGTATCTGATTTTTTAGCTTTCAGAAATTGAGGAGTATAGAAAATTGAAATAAAAATCTTTTTCACCTCATTAATCTACTCCTAGCTCAATTAAAGGATTTGCTTGGTCGAATTAAGAAGAAGCATTATCTTTAGATAGTAGATAATCTTTGCCATAAAACGAGCATGATGTACTGCTCCAGGCTTGTGTATGCTGAGAGGCTTGAATGTCGATTTCAAGAACATGAGAGCTAGCTCAGCAGTTCCTGGTAGTCTGCTCTCTTCTCGTGTCTCTAAAAAAGTTTAATGCAGATATTTAATTTCATTCATTATTTTTTTGTATTCAAACTTGAAGATTTATATGTTTAGAAAAGTTTACCTGAGAGTTTTTAAAGACTCCTTCATTCACAATCGTCATTAAACATTTTCTTGCTTTTTCTGCTTGTTCATTAAACCAAGAATCATAAATAGATTGCCATTTGAAGTGAGTGATGACACAGTTTTTCACATCAATATCATTCCACTTACTTTTCAAGCCTTTAAAGAGTGTGTTGTCAGGTCCTGTGGTTTTGTCTATGGTAACTGCTAACCAATAATGTTTTAATATGGCTTCTAAAACATGATGTCTACAAGCAAGCATCAACAATGGTTTACCAACATCGTTTCGCAGTCTGAAAAATTAAGATTATAACTAAATTGTTTATTGTAATTAGCTTTTAAAGTCCTTTTTTTAAATTATATTGAAAAACAGTTCACCTGTATATAGCAACACGAATTATAGGCTTGAAGTGATTTAGCACTGTACCAGAATAAATTCTTGGAGCGCCAAAGTGATGATCAGTACCTCCAGATCTCACAAATCCTATCACAAAAAATCCTATAAGTTGCAACATCACCGTGATTCGATATCAAGTCCTAGAATTAGGATTAGATTAACATTGTAAGAAAAACAGTTGTTTTCAATTAAAACACCAGTTAAAATTAAATATATGCAAACCTTGGTTAACTTTCCGTCAAAGTGTAGCTGAATTTTCACCTTACCTTGTTCGATCTCTTTTTTTTTTATCAAAATCTTAATATTTTCAACATCTTTGTCAATAATATTGTTTTTCATTTGGAAAGCTGAAGTATAAGAAAGAGGCAACTTATTTGGATCACCTCCAGCTGTGGTGACTAGCATTATCAGGGTTGCTGTAATTTTATGAGCTGTTATATCCATGCCTATTGCTGTTCTCATAGTTTCTTTCATAACTTCTCAGTTGATAACAATGGTTTGTTCTTGATTTTTAAAACTCCTTATTGAACAGTCCATGTAATTATTATCTGATTCAGACTCTAAACTTGGTTCTGAAGAAATTATTTTAGGTAGATGTATACCATCAGTAGAGCACACTTTAAAACCTCTACACCTTTTCTGGATCAATTTAAAAGAAATACGATTCAATTTAAAAGAAATACGAATCAATTTAAAAGAAGTACGAATCAATTTAAAAGAAATACAAATCAATTTAAAAGAAATACAAATCAATTTAAAAGGAATACGAATCAATTTAAATTAGTATTTTTTTTTTTAAATTGATTCGTATTTCTTTTAAATTGATTCGTATTTCTTTTAAATTGATTCGTATTTCTTTTAAATTGATTCGTATTTCTTTTAAATTGGTTCGTATTCCTTTTAAATTGATTCGTATTCCTTTTAAATTGATCCAGAAAAGGTGGCATTATGGCTACCTCATCGCGAAGTAAAAATCCCTTATGGAATTATTTTAAAGTGAGTGATGAAGATGTTGGCAATGCCATCTGCATACTTTGCAAGAAGATTTTGTCAAGAAGACGCACACAACATGTAAACAACAAATTTACAAAACCATCTGAAAAAAGTACATTACAATATACATAGCATGAATCTTTCTCAGAAGAAAACTGTTAACCACAAATCTTTACCAAATCCAAATAAAATGTCTATAAAATTTTTTTGCACTACTCGAACAATGTGCTCAGGTAGAACAAGCTCTGCTGAATCAGTGCAAATCATTACCAGCACTGCCACAGATGAAACGCAGGGAAGCTCGCGTGTGTCTAATAACACAATTGCCTTTTTTCAAAGTGCATCGACACAGGTAACTCAGATAACTGTAGCTAAATTCATTTACTATTCATTATTCATGATTTTGTGACTGGATGGGGGCATGTCTTGTCAAAAAATTATTTTTTCTATAGAAAAAAATTAACTTGTTATATTATAGTGAATGTTCTGATGATGGGGGGAAAGATTCATACCTCTATCCGCCACTTAGATCCGTCGCTGGCCATTGTTAGTTACAAGTTGGTGAGTAATTTTTTTAATTCGTTGAATTTGTTTCAGGTCTCACTGCGGGAGATTTTGCAAAGAAAAGAATTGTGACAACTTGACAATCCTAAGATATGTATATACTTGCCATACTGTATTGTTGAAAATATAGGTTTTACCCGACTTTTAAAAAATTTAGCTCCAAACTATACAATACCTAGTCGAAAGTATTTCTCCACAAAAGTCATTCCACTGATGTATGAAACCATAAAAGCCAAAGTAAAATATGAGCTTGATCAAGCAGATTTCCTAAGTTTTTTGATTTAGTTTTAAAAAAATTGTTGTTGTAAAATTGTTGTAAAATTATTGGAATGATCAAAAGATCATTTGTCAATCTCAATATCTTGACGTACTTTGTTAATTTTCCTTGTTCGTTCTTACCTTGATTCTTGCAGCTCTGTCTACTATCCTAGACTTTAAAAAGATCAACAATTAGTTGAAAATATTGTATGCAAACCTAGTAAATCTGTTTTTGGTCAGACTAGACTTTAGAAACCACGCTTCTAAAGGTAACTGAAAGCAGCTGAAAATAAGAATTTTTATTTTATTTTGGTAATTGTCTTATTTAAAATATCGTTTTTGTTTTGTTTACAATATTTTTTTTGTTTTTGATCTAAACAGCTATATTTGACTCAAATATAGTAAATGTTTATTGTTTAGTATGATTTCATCTTTTCTTTGTATTTATTTTGACAGTTATGAGACTGCTTTAGAACGGATAGAAATGTTAGAGTTTACATCAAACATTAAAATAGCTGTTGATAGTGATGATGAAGAATTATCTATGCTTCCAGATTAAAAAGTTGCAGGTGACAAAAAAAAAAAAATGATACTGATAAAATTGTTTATCAGTTTCTCAAAGATTGAAGAAATATTTAGTGTTTTAGGGTTAAGTATTTCTATCAGAGCTTTGCTTGACAATCTCTTTCGATTTATTGAATTTATTTGCTGGTTTAAGAGGAAAAAAGATCTAAACCTCGAAAAAAAAAATGGAACAAAGACACCTTATAAATCGATAGTATGTATTAGTGAATTGATATTACTTAATAGTTTTTGGAAACAGTCCTATGTACTATTAAAGTTTCTAATTTTAAAATATTGCATGTAGGTTGTGAGGAAATGAAAGTTGAATCTATTACGATATTGCACAGATATAAAGTGAATCGCATCAACTTCTAGATGATCTTGACTAAGTTTGTTCATAACAGGAGTCAGATGTACCCATATGGCATGTGCACCATGATCAAGATTTGGTGAAACTGATGCAAATGAATGAAATGTGCATGGTTCACCTTCTTCCCAAGCCGTTCATATGAAACTTAAAAACAAATGGCACAATATGTTACATGATTGATTATAATTATATAAAGAATGTTTTATATAAATGCCTCTTACATTTTATTGTGAATACTAATTGGAGCACTCTATACCTCTTTTTTTTTTTCATTTTTATCTGTTTTATATAACTTCAAATAATTTTAATGGTTTACAACTTTTTTTTCTTAAAGCGTATTCTATGATCATTGTCATCTCCTAGACTATACCCTGTTTAATTCAAAAGAATAATGCAGCCTAGCACATTAGTATCATTTAAACAAGAAAACTGTTATAAATTTTAATTATTAAAAATTTGTAGAAGGCAATATTTTTTACTATGTTTTAATAATAAAAATTTAATCAAAAATATTTAATAGATTGGCTTAATATAGTTATATATATATCAGGATAAAATTGTAAACTATATTACGCCAATGTTGGCCAGTATTATATCCCTATTATTGGCGCGATATTATTTACAATATAAGCACAATAATTTAAACATTATCGCGCCAATATTACAATGTGAACATTTTACCAATATTGACTTAACAATATTAGCACAATATTGTACCGCGAATATTGACTTAACAATATTGGTACAATACTGTAGCGCCAATATTGGCAAAATGTTCACATTGCAATATTGGGGCGATATAGTTTATATTACTGCGCCAATATTGTAGACAATATCGCCCCAATATTGCGTCAACATTGTTTGCTACTTGAGACCCTAAATTTATATAAAATTGTATTAAATTATTTCTTATAAAAAACATTAATAATTACACTAAAAAAGCTACTATTTACTAATTATATTAGGATTCGGTTATAGTTAAGTTCATTTTGATGTACAAAAATACTATAACAGCTTTATATTCAAACCTTTAATTTAACAGCTTTAATTTCAAACCTTTGATTTAACAGCTTTAATTTCAAACCTTTAATTTAACAGCTTTAATTTTAAACCTTCAATTTAACAGCTTTAATTTCAAACCTTTAATTTAACAGCTTTAATTTCAAACCTTTAATTTAACAGCTTTAATTTCAAACCTTTAATTTAACAGCTTTAATTTCAAACCTTTAATTTAACAGCTTTAATTTTAAACCTTTAATCTAACAGCTTTAATTTCAAACCTTTAATTTAACAGCTTTAATTTCAAACCTTTAATTTAACAGCTTTAATTTCAAACCTTTAATTTAACAGCTTTAATTTCAAACCTTTAATTTAACAGCTTTAATTTCAAACCTTTAATTTAACAGCTTTAATTTCAAACCTTTAATTTAACAGCTTTAATTTTAAACCTTTAATCTAACAGCTTTAATTTCAAACCTTTAATTTAACAGCTTTAATTTCAAACCTTTAATTTAACAGCTTTAATTTCAAACCTTTAATTTAACAGCTTTAATTTCAAACCTTTAATTTAACAGCTTTAATTTCAAACCTTTAATTTAACAGCTTTAATTTCAAACCTTTAATTTAACAGCTTTAATTTCAAACCTTTAATTTAACAGCTTTAATTTCAAACCTTTAATTTAACAGCTTTAATTTCAAACCTTTAATTTAACAGCTTTAATTTCAAACCTTTGATTTAACAGCTTTAATTTCAAACCTTTAATTTAACAGCTTTAATTTTAAACCTTCAATTTAACAGCTTTAATTTCAAACCTTTAATTTAACAGCTTTAATTTCAAACCTTTAATTTAACAGCTTTAATTTCAAACCTTTAATTTAACAGCTTTAATTTCAAACCTTTAATTTAACAGCTTTAATTTTAAACCTTTAATCTAACAGCTTTAATTTCAAACCTTTAATTTAACAGCTTTAATTTCAAACCTTTAATTTAACAGCTTTAATTTCAAACCTTTAATTTAACAGCTTTAATTTCAAACCTTTAATCTAACAGCTTTAATTTCAAACCTTTAATTTAACAGCTTTAATTACAAACCTTTAATTTAACAGCTTTAATTTCAAACCTTTAATTTAACAGCTTTAATTTCAAACCTTTAATTTAACAGCTTTAATTTCAAACCTTTAATTTAACAGCTTTAATTTCAAACCTTTAATTTAACAGCTTTAATTTCAAACCTTTAATTTAACAGCTTTAATTTCAAACCTTTAATTTAACAGCTTTAATTTCAAACCTTTAATCTAACAGCTTTAATTTCAAACCTTTAATTTAACAGCTTTAATTACAAACCTTTAATTTAACAGCTTTAATTTCAAACCTTTAATCTAACAGCTTTAATTACAAACCTTTAATTTAACAGCTTTAATTTCAAACCTTTAATTTAACAGCTTTAATTTCAAACCTTTAATTTAACAGCTTTAATTTCAAACCTTTAATTTAACAGCTTTAATTTCAAACCTTTAATCTAACAGCTTTAATTTCAAACCTTTAATTTAACAGCTTTAATTACAAACCTTTAATTTAACAGCTTTAATTTCAAACCTTTAATTTAACAGCTTTAATTTCAAACCTTTAATTTAACAGCTTTAATTTCAAACCTTTAATTTAACAGCTTTAATTTCAAACCTTTAATTTAACAGCTTTAATTTCAAACCTTTAATCTAACAGCTTTAATTTCAAACCTTTAATTTAACAGCTTTAATTACAAACCTTTAATTTAACAGCTTTAATTTCAAACCTTTAATTTAACAGCTTTAATTTCAAACCTTTAATTTAACAGCTTTAATTTCAAACCTTTAATTTAACAGCTTTAATTACAAACCTTTAATTTAACAGCTTTAATTTCAAACCTTTAATTTAACAGCTTTAATTTCAAACCTTTAATTTAACAGCTTTAATTTCAAACCTTTAATTTAACAGCTTTAATTTCAAACCTTTAATTTAACAGCTTTAATTTAATTAAACCGATAAATCTCAAGAGTTCATTGAATTACAATTTTTAATTCTTTGCATCTGGTAAATGTAACACATTTTTTGTTTACTTTTGTTTAGATGTTTTTTTTTAACTTTTCTCCATTTGAAAAGAAAAACTCAAATTTACGGTTAAATATGAGCAACATGGAAAGTTACAGAAAAAAAAAATTATGTTCATGCATCTGAAAATGAATTAAACTAACAACAATTTTAACAAAAAACAATTAAATGTTCAAACATTTAACTTCACTTTATATAATAATATATTAAAATAAGCAACAAAAAAAAAACAAACAATGCCGTAGTTAGTTGTACTTTTAATCAAATGGAAAGAGTGATTGTTTTTTGATATAAAAATAATGGCTCACTCCTTGACCAAAGTTGTTAGTCAATTTATTTTTAATGTTTGCGCTTTGAGCCAGGTATAAATTTGCTAAGAAACAGGTATAAATTTCTTAAGAAACAGGTATAAATTTGCTAATAATTTATGTTTATGCTCAATTTAAGAGATAAAGAAACTGTTAGAATATACTTAGATAATAAAAATTTTGTCTTGATAATTTATTAAACATAAAATCATTATACCTTGCCAACGTTTACCATTGTTTTTAGAAAAGTAACACGCTGCCTTTGTTCTAAATAGAAATCTTTAAATTGATATATAATAATTTGACATCAGATCGAATAAAGCAAAACAAAAAAACAAGCAGTATTTGTTTGAATGAAAATCAAAAAGTATGACAAAATTTAATAAAAGACAATAAAAACCTTATAATAAAGGTTTATTTAATAAATTAGTTTGTTAAATAAACATTTTGAGGGCGTTTAACTATTTACGTTTGAGAGAATTCGTATAAATTTTTTTTGTCTATTTAGTAGTTTTTTTATCTTGTTTGCGTTGGTGCTGCACCAAGCAATGTTCCCATTATTATGGTAGCTGTAAATAAAAGAAAAGTATAAGTTTTATAAACAGTTTTGGTTTAAAAACCTTTTAGCTTTTAGCTGAAAAGAGTAAAAAGTTTGAAATTTTAAAAAAAAATTTATAAAAATTTCGAAAGAAAATTTTAATTATAATTGTATAATCAAAAAAAATTATTATTTTTTTGTTTTGTTGATGTTCTAAATCTTTTTAAGCTATAAATTACTCTTTTATATATACTATTCAAAATACACAATTGTTACCTTGAAAGTATATATAAAAAAGTAAAACGAATAGCAAAATGTAAATGCTTGGATAATATAAAAAAAGCAAAACATTGTGAGATTAGAGGCGATTCTACGATCTAAAATGAGGGGGGAGGTGGGTGTATCCTTAAGAAGTACCGATAGTAAAAAAAAAAAAAAGTCTCCTAAATTAAAATCACCTTAATGAGTTGTGTCAAATATCTAACTACCTTACTATATTCGTTTAAAAAACCAACTATAACTTGAAATCATCTTCTTTGGAGGGGAGAAAGGTTGTTGAACACGCTCTCACATCCCCCTGTAAAATTTCTTCTGGTTAAAATGGCTTTAATAAGTGAGACTTATAAAAAAATTAATACAATTTTATCAAGTACAAATTATTTAACCAAAACACAACTTTAGCAACCAAAATCATATCAGTTCATAATCACTTTAAATAAAAAATTTTTATAAATTTTTGTACCACAAAAGTAAAAACTACGTCTTCCAGTTCACTGATGGTATTTGGAGAGTAAGATAGGATCGTATTTAAAAATAAGTGAGAGACGACAATTTAAGTAGAGGTAGTATGATTTGAGCATCCCCAAGATTTATTGATAAAACAATACTATATATATATATATATATATATATATATATATATATATATATATATATATATATATATATATATATATATATATATATATATATATATATAAATTTTTTATTTTTATTTTTTTTTTTTTTGTTCTTTAATTTTACAACTTTGTGATTTAATAAATATTCGTTAACAATGTATATATATATACATGATCGTTATTGAGAAATAAAAGAACGCGGGAACTCGTAGAAGACCGTAAGGTCTTGTCGTCGAGAACCGCTAAAAAATTTTCGTGTTAATATTTCGTGTTTCAATAGGAATATATACTTAACATACTTGAAGATAACAAATAATTAAGAATTAAGAATTGAAAACATAAACAAATTTAAAGAAAAAAAGAAAAAGAAAAACGGTTCCGTTATACAGGTTTAAGATATCTTTAGCACAATTGTTAAACTTTTTGTTAAAGGTTTTGTTATACAGTTTTAAGATACCTTTAACAAAAGTGTTAAACAACTATTTACAAATTGTTAAATTATAAAATTTATTAATGCAGTGTTAAATATAAAGTTAAAAAAAGAAACAAAAAATTAAAAGAATATAGATATATCATCTAATAAAAAAATGACTTTTTTAAGTTTTTGTTTGAAAGAGTGATAGCTAACTTCTTGAGAAAAGTCAAAATTCTTTAAAACTATTTTATTTCAAAGTAATGCTCCTCGAAATGAAATACAGTATTTTCCAGAATTAGTTTGATAAGCTGATTGACGAATATTATTATCATTTCGTAAAATGTACTTAGTTTTTTCTTTTTTGTTATACACATTATGAAAAGGTACAGGAGAAATATTGTTTTTACATTTAAACATAAAACATATAACGTTAAAAATATTAAGCTCATATATATTTAAGACTTTCATTTCAATTAATAGAGGCTTGGCATGAGTAAATCGATCCTTAAAATTAATAAGGCGTGCAACATGTTTCTGTTGACGATAAAGAGGTTCCAGTTTACTTTTATTAGTACTACCCCACGTAATGTTCGCATAGTTAATGTGACAATGAATGAGCGAATAATATAGTTTAAGTAATGTATGTTTGTTTAAAAAACACCTTGCTTTGTACAAAATTCCTATGCTTTTTGATATTTTACTACTCAAATTTTTTATGTGACTTTTCCATGACAAATTTTCATCAATATAAATACCAAGAAAGTTTGTAACTGTTACTTTTTTTAGAAGTAATATCAATAAAAAGCAGTGGCATTTCATTTGGTAGAAGATTTTTTTTGTGATTTAGATGGAAAAAAATCCATTTCGTTTTATCAATATTAAGAGACAGTTTATTTGTCTTAAACCAATCAGAAATTCTTACTAGTTCATTATTGATATTCTGAAATAACAATGTAATATCATTATGAGATAAAAATAAGTTTGTGTCATCTGCAAACATAATCGTCATTAAATTTGAGGCTTTATGGAGATCGTTAATGTAAATAAGAAAAAGAAGAGGCCCTAATATTGATCCCTGAGGAACTCCACAGGTTATATCAAGCAAGTTTACTGGTGAAACTACATCAATGTATACAAATTGCTTTCGATTATTTAAATAGCTTTTTAACCAATTTAAAACACTTCCGTTTATACCGTAAATCTTTAGTTAATTTAAAAGAATATTGTGGTCTATTGTATCGAAAGCTTTAGCTAAGTCAATAAAAACCCCAACTGTATATTGGGAGTTTTCAAAAGAGTTAGTAATACTTCTTGTAAACTGGAGAACTGCGTGTTCTGTCGAGTTATTTTTTTTGAATCCATATTGATTGCTATATATTAAATTGTTTACAGATAAATGATTATAAATTCTGTTGTATAAAATTCTCTCCAAGACTTTTGAAAATGCAGACAGAATAGAAATGGGACGATAGTTGTTAACATTAGTTAAATCACCTCCTTTAAATATCGGAATTACCTTTGCTATTTTTAGTTGGTTAGGAAAAATTCCTTGCCTAATAGAACAAGAAAAAATCTTAAAAAGTACATCTTTTATGATTTCATTTGATTTAATAACAATATTTACATTGATATCCTCCGCACCTGCTGATTTGATGGGTTTTAGCATTTTAAAAGCGCATTCAAACTCTTCAAAAGTTAGTTCAAACGAATTAAATTGCGATGTATTAGGGATAAATAGATTACTTATTGGATTACAAAAATTTATCATATGATTTGATGGTTTTAGGCAATGTTAGTGTGTTCATTTTAAAACTGCCTGTGATTTCCTTTATAACTTCCCATGTGCGATTAGAATTTAATTTATATTTCTCAAGTAAATCATTGTAATAATTTTTTTTAAGATTTTTTCTTTGACGTTCGAATTGTTTGACGTAACTTTTATATATAGCTTTACTTTTATCTGCTTTTAGTTTTAGGAATTTAATGTACAATTTTTGTTTGATTTTGGATGATTTTCTTAACCCTTTAGTAATCCATGGGGATTTTATACTTTTTAATTTACAATGTATTTTGAGTTTTGGAAAGTTAACATCATATATATATATATATATATATATATATATATATATATATATATATATATATATATATATATATATATATATATATATATATATATATATATATATATATATATATATATATATATATATATATATATATATATATATATATATATATATATATATATATATATATATATATATATATATATATATATATATATACATATATATATATATATATATATATATATATATATATATATATATATATATATATATATATATATATATATATATATATATATATATACATATATATATATATATATATATATATATATATATATATATATATATATATATATATATATATATATATGTATATATATATATATTTATACATATATATATATATATATATATATATATATATATATATATATATATATATATATATATATATATATATATATATATATATATATATATATATATATATATATATATATATATACATGAGTCAAATTCTAAAAGGAGGACAATTAATAGGGTACAAAAGCGAAAACAATTATTATTTTAAAAATTAGTGAAATTATTGCCATTTTGTTAATAAAAGGGTCCCACAACAGAATTGTATAATGTCCATAATCAAACCTTGAAATTTTTTGACTTTTTTAAACTATTAGATGCACATTTGTGCATAACCGTCATTTATGTAACAAATATTAACAACACCAAATTTATATAAAAAATTAGTTATTGTCCTTCCATTTATAGTTATCTTTTTCTCTAATATATTCTTACAAAAAATTAATGCAATTCTTTACTCCAGATTGAAATTTAAATCAATGATTAAAGTCAGAATTTGAAATATTTGGAAAAATTAGATTTTAACAAATACATCATTGTATAATTGAGAGATAAACAAACCTACAGTATTTTAATTGATAGATAAGATGTAGAACGTGACATTCTAAAGAAATATGATTGATAAAATCTGCAAATAGAATTAAATAAATTTTAAATGTAATAAACCTACGAGTTACAGAAATGATTCAAAAGTTACAGAAATAACTCGTATATAACAGAAATGACTACAAATTTTTGGCACCAACTCCATCCATTGGTCCTTTAGCATAACCTGCCTCTGAGTAATTCCATAAAAAGTATTTCATGTTCGGACATAAGAAAGGCATGCAGGTTGTGAGGAAATGTAAGTTGAATCTATTATGATATTGCGCAGATATAAAGTGACTCGTATCAACTTCTGGATGATCTTGACTAAGTTTGTTCAGAACAGGAGTCAGATGTGGCCATTTGGCATGTGCAACATGATCAAGATTTGCTTAAATTGACACAAATGATTGAAATGTGCATGGTTCACCCTCTTTCGAAGTCAAATACTGCACTCCTGCTAGCAGAGAGAGTTGTACCTTAGCAGCTCTAAAATGTTTTGAGATTTTTTGAATAACATGCAACGTAGTTTTCTGAAATCTGAGTAATAGTTTCGTTTCATTTTAAGTCTATTTAACCTCATTGTTCTAAATTGTTGTTTTATAAAAAACAAGTGTTGCATGAACGAATATAGCAACAATTTAAATTCTTTGATCAATCCTGTCTTTGTTGTTCCTATGGTTGCTTTGTGCATAAAAGTGATCTTTTGCTTTGCCTCAATCAGCCTTGTCTCGGTTTTTCTTTCCAACTTGTTTAAAGAAATCTTCTTGTCATCAAGATTTTTGGATAAGCTGATTGGAAATAACTTTGTTTTTACAGGTGTTACATTCGTGGTACATACAATTTCTATCATTTATATCACAACTAATTGTGGTACAAATATTTTCAAGTTACTTTCAGTAAGGATCTTTAATTGGTGAAGTTTGTTAGCAACAAACTGAATATTTCCATGTTTTGAACATGCACAAGTTCTCTGTCTTTAACGTTTGGCTCAACCACCCACACTACCCTGAGACGTAGAAAGGTTGCATATGAAATGTTGGATCAAATTCTTTTCTTACATTTAAGAATGCAAGTTTTTCTTCTTTCAGGTCTTCCATTGTCTTTCTTAACTCTTCTTCTCTTTAAATCTCTTTCTAGCTTTAATCGCCTAATTCTGACTTTCTTTCTTCCAACAGATTTCCTTGATGATGACATTTTTTCAATAATTTTGGCACATTTAGTTTTGGCATGGCAGCAGATTCCAATAATTATGCTTTTGCAGCTTTTCTATCTTTATACGTTTTAGAATTTCTTTTCCATTTTTTGCGAGTTTTACGTTGATATCTTTTAATAGCTCAGAATATGGCTTGTCCAGTTGTTCAATCTTCCTCTGCCTTTAATATTTTCTATCTTTTTGTCTGCGTTCTTCAAGCTTACCTGCTGATAGATTACCTCTGTGTTTTCTTACTTGCTCCCCTACATGTTCTTGCTTTTTGTTAACGTTTCTGGTTTCTTTTATTTTATCTGATTTCACTTTTTCAATTTTATTTGTTTTTTGCAGCTCTGGCATTGCGCTATATTTTATTAATTGCAGCTTTTTCTTTAGCTTCCTTTTCTTGTAATTTAGAAGCATTTTTTCTGATTTTAATTTGATAACCAATTTGAATTTTTTGTCAGACATTATTTTTTTAACTATCTAGAATACAAAACAAATAAATTGTAAACTCAAAGCTTAAAAATTATTTTAAAATTTTTTGAAACTTTCAACAGAGATTAGTCAAAAAAATTGAAGAAACCTGCAGAAAAACAAATATGCACAAATTTTTTAGTAGGATTGATTGTAAAGATAACAGTGAGTACTGTGTTGGTTTATGCAAATTATTTATATTTTATTTTATTCCCATGTGCAAGTTTTTATCTTAGTCATTTCTGTAATAAATTAGTAAAAAAAAAAAGCGTTGCAGAAGTGACTGTTACAGATATGACGTTTGCTCATAAAAAGAAATTGAATTGCTTTATATAGTAGTCAACATGTTACTGAGCAATAATTTGACATGTCAACTGAGTATTTTTGATACAAATTGGCATAATTCATATAATAAATCACAACTAAATAGCAATTATATAAAATTATATACTTTAATTTGCGTTACAGATATGACTTACTATAAAAACATTGAGTTCTTGATGTTTTACCGTAAAAAATTTCAAAATTTAATAAAATAAAAATATATATGTTTATATTTTTCAACAACAATATTCAATATGGCAGCTCTATCTAAACTTCTGGTTAAAATAGCGACATCTTACAAATATTTGTGAACTGAAATAAAAATTGTAAGTTAAGTTTTTCAGATCCTGTAAAAATTCACATTAATTTCATTTTAGCAGTTGAAGTTAAATTTCTTCTTTAAAAGTTTTACTACTATCTTATCATAATTTCATCACAAGGTACTTCTTATCAACATGTTGTGATTCTGAAGTTCTAAAGTAGTAAAGTTGGAGAAAGTTACAGAAATGACGTTTAAGCACTTTAGACTGATTTTTTTATATAATAATTAGAATCTTATAATCAAAAATAATGATTTTTTTAGTAAAAAATGTACTACATATTCAGAAAAACATTTATCGTAGTTTCAATAACCAGTTTGGAAATATTTATGGCAAGACAGGGATTATCCTCCTTTCAGATTTTTACCTATATTTATATATATATATATATATATATATATATATATATATATATATATATATATATATATATATATATATATATATATATATATATATATATTATATATATATATATATATATATATATATATACATGTAGAATGACATAAAAAATTGTTATAAAAATTTTGTTTTGTTACTAAAACAATTGAATGTAGTAAAAAGCATTTACGTGACAACGTCTTGATCCATACATAAATAAATATGCTGGTAATTAGCGTCCCAGTAAACTCCGCGGCCAAGGTTTTCTGAAACAAATTAATTTTGAAAAAAATTAAAAAAAAAAAAATTTTCAACGCAATAAAATAAATGATAACTAAAGTACCTGGTAACGAGTTTAAAGTTTTTGGTATTTTGATTTGACAGGTTTTCATAAATATCTCTTGTTGAAATGCTTTGTATTGACTCCATATTTTTCCTGCTGAGCTTTGATAAGAAATTTTTACATACGCATCAATCATAAAAGAATATGCAAACTGAGTACATTTTTTCATAAGTGTAACATTAATTGAATGGTTAAAGTTACCAAGTAAAGTAAGCTTTCCAGGGAACTGTAAACAACAAATAAATCATTATTTCTATTGGTTGGATCAAGTATTTTTAAGAGAGTTTAAACAAAATATTTTCTTTACCGTTGTATTTTATACTTTTACCAATTAAAATTTTAAAGTACATTTTAAAATGTTTTTACATGATATTTAATTCTTGAAGAGTCATCTTTAATAAATCCATTTAACATGCTTTCAGTTGTCATAGAAACAAATGATGGGAGATAATATTCAAGAGATAAGTTATGAGCACTTTTTCCTGGTTCGTCAGCATTTTCGAATAAAATAATTATCGAAAATGTGCTAAATTAGGAATAATTAAATTAGGAAAATTTTATCATCAGTTCATATTTTATAGTAAATAAAACAATATTTTGTAAGTTTTTTTTACCTTTCTTCAAGTAAAAACTCAAAATCAATGTTCAATGAAGGTTTGCAAAAGTTCTTCTTGCTTGTTACGACTTAATATATATATATATATATATATATATATATATAATATATAATATATATATATATATATATATATATATATATATATATATATATATATATATATATATATATATATATATATATATATATATATATATATATATATATATATATATATAAATATATATAATTATATATATATACATATATATATATATATATATATATATATATATATATATATATATATATATATATATATATATATATATATATATATATATATATGTATATATATATATATATATGTATGCATATATATATATATACATATATATATATATATATATATATATATATATATATATATATATATATATATATATATATATATATATATATATATATATATATATATATATATATATATATATATATATAAATATATATGTATATATATTTATATATATTTATATATAAGGGAAAGCGGGGCAAGACGGCTAATGTTTTGAAAGCCCTGAATTATTGCAAAACTAACACACATGAAGCAGTCATACTTTGCCAGTATGTTCTTGTTATCATAGTTATTGATTGCCTAGATTAATTTTCAGTTTGAAAAAAATAAAATTTAAAATAAAAAGTTTATAAATATGTCATTTGGTCACGTGACCGGGGCAAAATGAATTGTTTTACGAATTCTGACTCCATTTTTATAAAAATTTAAACACTACCAACTAATCTAACTAAAGAAACAAAATAAACAAGCGTCGCAAAAAATTATTCCTAATAAACTTACACCCGAAGAACACCATTAATTATGAATAATCAAGAGCATTTCTTTTTAAAAGCAATAAGTAAACTTTTGCGTATGAGCATAAATGCGTTTGTAATGTTTAAAAAAACCGATTGGCGTTTTAAATTACAAGCTGTAAATACAGTTTTTACCCATTTTTAGGTTTTTTTGTTGAGTTGCTGTATGGAAAGCCATCTTGCATCATATGCCGTTATACGATGTATATATATATATATATATATATATATATATATATATATATATATATATATATATATATATATATATATATATATATATATATTTATTTATTTATTTATGAAGATAAATAAAAAAAATACACTTTATTTACTCGTTTTACAATAAGATGCAATAAATTTACCTCCATAACCATTATATATAACCAAATTTCGAATGTATCCCGTTTGTGCTTGGCTCCAGGGATCTCCAGTATAAATTTTAACATTTAGAAATTCTCTTACGTCGGAGTTACTTGTTGTAAAGGATGTTTCACCATTTAAATTTACACTGTAACTATAACCTCCATCTACAATAACCTGTTTAATTTCGATTTTTGACCATACTTTTGCTTTAATCGGCTTTGTATTAATGCAAAAGTTAGAATTGCCGTTGATTGCCGAACAAATTTGCAAACTTCCGTTTTTATATAGCCACACAGCTGGAATTTTATCTCCATAAGTACCATCATTGTCTCCGTTTGTGAAGCGTAGAACACTATTTATTCCATCTTCAAGGTATGCTGGAAAAACTTCAATTGAAATTAAGTATTCTTTAGAAAGAGTTTTTAGAAAACCTAACTGGTTTCCTTGACAAGAATCTGCTTCCTCAACAACCAACGAATCTAAGTATATTAAATTTATATGGTAGGCAAACAAAACAAAAAATAGAAATGATAAAAAAATACAATTTTTACCAAAGTTGTTGAAAATAAAATACAAAAACATAGCATTAAGCTAAAAAACAGAAAAACTAAATCGAATACATAAAGTAACAAAAACAAACTGCATAGTCAAAGTTTGTTCCAATGACGCTTTAATTTTGTTAGAACAAACTTTGAAAATGGAGGGTTTTTTTTATCTCTAATATGTATGTATGTTAGGGTGATGCAAAAAATATGACCATCTCAGATTTTTTGAGAGACCCCTTTATTTGTATTAACTTATTATAAAAATATCTGTGTAAAATTTTAGGTCAAAATAATAATATTTAGGGGGTGCGCCGGCCAATCGGAAACTTATATATTTAAATTTTTTTTAGTAAAATTATGTTTTATGAGTTTGTTATTACACAATTACTAATAGACCAACAGGTTTGTAGACTAACTCTTGCTGATAATTTTATATTGCTTAGTTTGAGCCATTCGGATGACAAGATCTAATTAGGATTAACCCTTTAGGCCCTGAAATGTTTTGCATTCTTATTTACATGGAAGAGAATTAACGATAGCTTTTGTTAAAAAAATATTTATAAATCTATATATTTAATTGTTGCAACTAGCTATATATAAATTGTGTGTAGTCTTCTCGGGTCACTATTTCAACTCCTATTAAATTCAACGCTTCAGTTTAAGTGACAATTCCTCGTGCAGAATAAGTTTTTCAAGAAAAAACTTTCGCAATTAGTTTTTATGTAATTCTCTAAAGGGAATTGCTTATTCCGCAATCACTTATATTTATTCTGAGCGAGCATTAAAAATAATTGTCCAGAAAGAATTTTTTTTGTAACAATCATTACCATCCTTTACATTAAAAATAACTAACATTTTAAAAATTTAAGTAACCAACCTCCCTGAAATACGATGCTGTGAATAAATTAAAAAAACTGTATATTAAATGGAAATTGTTAAAAAAAATTAAAGGAAAAAAATCAAAGTTCTCCTTAGAGAAAGAGAATAAATAGAATAAAAAACTGGATTCTCTCTTTGATATAGCGTATACGAATGCAAATGAGTTTATAACATCTTGGATGTTGCCAAAATCAGTCACTGATCAGCCTCTTCAACAATAATTCCAACAATCAAGAAAAAATTTTAGTGGAAATTTGAAAGAGACTTATAAAACTGGCAAACGATTGCTTGTTCGTTGGGATGGCAAACTATTAAAGACATTGATGGCAATGAGGCTGTAGACTAGTGGCCAGTCCTAACATCTAGCAGTGGAGATGATCAATTGCTAGGAGTGCCAAAAAAGTAGATTATGGTACAGGAAAGGAAATTGCAAATGCAGTACATCAGTTGGTCATTGAATGGAATCTGGCAGATAAGGTAAAAGGTATTTGCTTTGACACAACTTCATCAAACACCAGTCGAAAAAACGGAGCTTGTGTCTTACTTGAACATAATATGGAAAAAGATTTGTTATGTTGTACCTGTCAACCTCATATCCTTAAAATCGTGTTGGTAGCAGTGGTATCCACAGCATTGTAAGCTTTATCAGGCCCTGACATTAAGTTATTTTGAAGATTTAAAAAAGCTGGAGTAATATTGATCAAACTTTATTCAATAAATTAGGCATTTATGCGCAAAAAGAAAAAGAAGAAATCATAGAATTTGCAGTGAAAAAAATTGAAGAAGATCCATCAAAGAATTATTGGAACTTTCAATTATATTGCTTGGCGGTACTCCAAAAGCTGAAATTAAATTCAAAAAGTCTGGGGTTTATCACAGAGCACGTTGGATGGCAAAAGACATTTATACCATGAAAATGTGGAAGTTCAAAACTTAGTTTAAAATAACATCTAAGGAAAAAAAAAAGTTAAAAGAAATTTGTATGTTTTCTGTTGTAATATACATTAGGCATAGGTTCTTGATTACCCATGCCAAGAACCTATGCCTAACATATATAGTCTCTTTAAGACTTTTGCAGTTACAAAAGTACAGTTAAAGAATTAGCAAATGTTGCTAATTGATGATAAAGTAAACTTTGACACAAAGTATAAAATAAATGATGGTATTACAAAACCTTCGGAAACAGATCCTCCAAAAAGACAGAAATAAATATCAAAACTATTGATTCTAAGTAGCTTGAAGATTTTGTAATAACTAACACAAATTCTTTTTTTAATATACTTTGATTTACTTTAGCATTCTTAAGCAAACCAGTAGAATATTGGCCTCTTGATGAAAGTTATTTGAAAGCATATAATATAGTAGAACATATGAAAGTTATTAATGATATTGCTGAAAGAGAAGTGAATTTGATTTAAGATTAAAATAAATTCATCAAAAATGATGAGCAACATAAACAATATTTATTACAAGTTGTATCAAATTATTGGAGGAAGCTCCAGGACAAGTCTAAGACTAGTATTTTATATTTAGCACGAATATAAAATCCAAAGTAAAAGTTTTATAATGTGTTATATTATAAGATATTTTTAAAAATTTCCATTGTTTTGTACTAAAATGCGAGATGTGAGAATTTTCCTAAAACTAGAAATATATTTCCATAAGTTCAAATTACAAGATTCTCTATTCTTATCGCAATCCGTTGCTATGGAACCATTTTAGAAACCTATCCAGTGGGCGTGGGATATAAAAAAGTATTTGAAACGTCTTTTAAATGGTTTCAACGTCTTTTGAACGTTTAAAAGACGTCTTTTTTATATTTCGTGCCCATTGGGTATGTCGTAAATTTAGAGAAATCAATACAGCTCAAAACTTCAAACACAGCATACTTGAACCTAAGTCAATCAAGAATCGTTACTCGATTCTTGATTGACTGAAGTCAATCAAGAATCGAGTTTTGTTGTTCAATTATTTTTTTATCCAAGGATACTAGTGAAAAGATTTTTTCGTCTTCACGTTCTCCGTTATCTTAATAATTTCATATACTTAAGTCTATTCCCTTGTTAAATATTTTTAAATATTTTTTAATTTTTTACTTGACATAAATAAATAAAAAATTGTATAATTATTTAATGAGGCTTATAAATGCGCGAAAGCAAGGCAACTAAACCAAGTTGCGATACCTATTCAACTATTTTTAACTAATTTCTAAAAACAATAATATTTTGAAGAGTAAAAAAAGGCTTTATAAAAATATTATTATGATATCTATATCATTCATTTCTTCTTTGAGGTCCTATCTGTTTTTTGCAACTTTTTAAATATATTTTATGTGTTTTTTTAAACTACATAAATGTTTATTTATTATAGTTGTATAATAGTAGATATGAATAAAACATTTGTAAATTATTTATAATATAAACAGGGAAAAAAAAAAAATTTAAACCATTGTTAGTTCTTTTTTAAGCATATATATAGTTTTACATTCCAATTTTCTCAATAAAAAATTTACAATAAAAGTTTAATTTTCAAAATGACACTTTACTCTCTTACATAAAACTTCCATCATAAGATTTAACAAAATATTGTCTAACGCTCTTCATAACGCGTTTCCACCGTACCCAAACAAGATGAACTTAAAAGTGTTATGTGAGGATAATTCATAGAATAAAGTGGAACAAGAATATCAGGTAAAAAAAGTGTTACCAGTCCTTATATTGGTGCCACTCCTTTGATCAGATTTTTGTATGAGTGACACCATCCTAATAAATCATTAATTTATTATTATATTAATGTTAGTTATTATTATTATTTTTTCATTGTAATTATTGTAAACATACTTATTATTAATATTAATATAATTGCTATAATTATTATTTTTATTATTATCAAAACTATTGTAAAATGATTTACGGAAAATATATAGCTTGTTGTTGTTGTTGTTACCATCTAATGATTAGAGTAATAAAATCTTTGAAAAAAAAAATAAAAAAGTTATATTGCTTATACATTATATTTTTTTTGTTAAACAAAACATATTAGAGTGTGGAAGCTGTTAAACTTTTATAGTGATTTTTAACTTTTCGTTTAGCTATATAAGTAAATTATTAAAGTAAAACTTGAGTATTTCTTTAAAGATTTTATTTCACCATTTAACCGGTAGAGCTTTCACAATTTCTTCCTGCCGAATTTCCAATTTCTTTCAACTCTGTAAACCCAAGTGAGCTAGGTCTTAGAAATCTTGTCATAAAAAATATTTGTGATGCTAGCGACTAACACAATACCATTTTTTAATGCGTAATTAATTGATTTTTTTTTTGTAATGTCAAACAATTTTTTTTTTCTAAAAGAAGACTCATTTAGCGTTTCTTCAATTTCATTTATGGGGAACTGTATCTTTTTTCTTTTTTAAAAATTTAAAAAAAATGTTGGGATCTTTTTAAGCTATGTTGGATTAGTTTCAAAAAAGATTTTTGTTCTACTAGAATATCAGAATTAAGTATGCGAAACTTTTTCAACGGTAACCTTAAATGGTTGATTGTGCATTTTAGATACCCAAACTGCTTCTACAACCTTAAGTTTATTTGTTAAATTTACAATTCCATATTCCTCATTTTATGTTTTATTTCATCTACTGTGATATTTTTTTTACATAATCTTATTAATTTACGGGCTCACAAAAAGTTATTTTTTTTAGCATCCATTTTTCTAAAGATTTTATTGTTAAGGAGGAATACAACAAAGATTTCATTATTCGGGAGGAATACAACAAAGATAACTAAACTATAACTGTAAAATTAATGTTTTATATAACTGTAAAATTAATGTTTTATATAACTGTAAAACTAATCTTTTATATAACTGTAAAATTAATGTTTTATATAACTGTAAAACTAATCTTAAAATAAAGTAATATTAGTAGAGTAAAACCGGGTCAAACTGCACACTAACCAATAAAAATAACTTTTTTATTTTTCATTTTTTTAATTAATTTTTTTGTTAGGTAATAAAAAACTACATGAGGTTTTATAAATACATATTAAAAAAAAAAAAAA